ATACATCTATTTTATTAATTATTAATATAGAGAAATGCCTGAAAATATGAAGTATAAATTCCCAATACATCTTGTTATTAGCTGATATAGGAAAAATGCTTGGAAAATTTTGTCCAGATAAAAAATATATATATATATATATATCATCCAGGTTTTTTTTTTTNTTTTTTTTTTTTTTTTGGTACAATAAAGGAGGCCAAAGGCCTAAAAAATGACTCTTATGCTAGAACACGAGATCATGTTGAAGCTAACCACCCAAACTAGTAGGGGGACACGAAATCCAAAGAAAACCGATCGACACTTGAGCCGCAAGGCTTGCCTTGTGATTCGCCGCAAAATTAATTTCTCAATGAACGTGTTGGATCGTGATTCTCCAGTCCCGTTCCAAAAGGCTTCAAATCGCCTTAACCAGCGATGCATGAGTCCCAACCTATTTGTCGTGCCACTAACCAATTTTGCCGCGCAGTGTCATTCAGAAAAAAAGACATAAATAATAATAATAAAAGGCGGGAAAATATAAGAAAAAGGCACTTATAGGAGTGACCGTAATATGCGGCACGAAAAACTTGGATGATAAATGAGTTAATGACAAAGACAAACACAATAATGACAACTATTAGTTGTTGATTAGCCCTTAGGTCTATAATTTTATTTTTATTCAAATAATTACTTATATTTATTAAATTTTGGAGTGTGTGGTTTTTTATTCCTTGTAATTGCTACTTTTTATTATCATCATTATTATTATTATTAAAGTACTTCACTATCCAAACTTTTGATTCAAAAGCACTAATAAGAGTCTCTAATACAAAATATATATATATATATATTAAATTTTAAAATATATTTGTATTCATGTTAGCCAAGTATTTTATAATATATATATATATAATTGCTGGCTCATGAGCATTTAATAAAACCTATTAAATTATACCTATGTGGCAATATAATTTTTTCCCTCAAAAAACCGTTGCTTTTTATTTATTTAACATCTCATTTAATTATAGATAATCAACACACTAATCACATCAAAATTATAAAAATCATTTTAAATTTTTGATTTACTTACAGCTGACCATATAATGTGTTGACTATTTAACATGATTAGATGTTATTGTTGTGGTTACATTTAAATTAATTTCTTTTGGAAATAAAAAACGTATTTGAAATTCCTAAATAAATAATAAATAATTCACAAAAAAAGATACATACCAAAATATACATTACATCTAATATGAAAATGCAATTTAAAAAAATAAATATTTCAGCTCTTTTAATTGTAAATTTGACAAAAAATTATTAATCATTCATTATATGCATACAAATAACTCACAATACTTTATTTATATATCTGTGCAAATGCACAGGTCGAATACTAGTCTTAATTAAAGAGTTCAGATTAGTCTTGGGTTGGTCTTGGGCTTTGTATTTTTGCTGCAATTTTATTTGCATATTTGTGACCAAAATAAAATCGAAACCAAGTTGGTTTTGGACTCGGGTTTTGACCCAACTCGTGTGACACCCAGGTACTTTGAACCTGGACGTGTGACATTTCACTTGTCCACCACCTTAACGTTCATGGGTTATCAATTGGATTAAAGTGAGTTATCACCATAGTGTTTTGCCCATTTATCAGGTGGATTGAAGGTGATTGTTAATGGTTGTGTTGTTACAAGTTGAACACCAAATGTCTCCCACTTGTATGGAAATCCTACAAATAGGACATAGAGTTGTAGAGAATATACACTGATCATATACCACATTATGAACTCTCTCACAACCTCACGCATACATATAGTGTGCTCAGTTCTCGGCTATGTTCTTGTTCGTTGAAGCTTTGAAGACTGGTATGCTACAGCCTACAACTGTCGAGTGAATAGTCGTTGTATCTTTGCGGACATTATGCACAGACCAGTCAGCACTACACAAGGTATATTTATCTTGCAGAAACATTTCAATAGCCTTGGTTTTAATCTGTCCGCATTCGAGTTGTATTTTACAGTTTTTGTTTAATTCATATTGTACGAACTGAACTCTTCAGTCAGTTCATAAGTTCCCGACATAAATTTTTTGTAACAAGACTTGTTTACTTTGAAGTGTGATGTTAATTCTTTTTTTCTTTTTTTTTTTTGTAATTTGTTAAAATTGAAAACTTGGTTTATTAAGTTGGGAAATGACAGTGTTACTCCTTAAAAGATCATGATACCAATATAATCAAACAAAAATAAATGGAAATATTTAATGGTTTATTTGATATCATTAACATTTTAACTACTGTACTCATTCATCGTTGATTCGAAATATTTTATTTTTGCCCTTTTTCATGATTGTGTATCATAATCCACAAACACATCTATCACCCCTGATCATGTAACACTACAGAATGCAAACTCTACCTAATCCAATATTGTTTAATAATGCTGTCACAAAATCAACTGCGTGACTGTGTCTCGGGCCATACACATTTTCAAATAATAAATAATAGTCAATACCAAAATACAGTATATCCTCATGTTACAATATTATCTGAGGTGTCCCACATAGGGAAAATATGCTTAATTTATAAATTTAACGGGCTACTTCTCCTATCACCAATTGATTTTAAGATGGAACCTCACTTGGAGTTCATTTAGGTTTTCCCTGTTATGGTGCGCTTCGTGCGACGACTTGTTTCTAGTTATGGGCTTGAGCTCCTTATGAAGGACTGGTTCTATGTGGGTTTATGAAGGATTAGTTATGGGCTTGAGCTCCTTATGAAGGACTGGTTCTATGTGGCGCCTGTTAGAATATGGTATCAGAACCGGTTTTATGTGGATTTATGAAAGACTCGCATGTAAGGACGCTTGTTAGAATATAGTATCAGAATAAGTTCTATGTGGGAAAAAATATGTCTGATTTATAAGTCTTGGTTACTCCTTCCACAAATTAGTCCTTCCACCAATTAGTTTTAGGATAGAATCTCATTTAGAGTTCATCTAGGTTTTTCATGTCTTAGTGCGCTTCATATGCGTAGAACCAACACCGTTTTCCCCCAGTTTCTTACCCCTCAAATTCAATTTTTCTATTAACTACTTATTTTAATTGACTTGATCTGCTACTGATTCCATGTCCAGAGAGCTGAACCAAAAAGGTGTGTTTTATTTTCAAGTACATTGAACTACCAGAAAGTAAAAATAATTTAATTGTAATATTTTTTTTCCATTTACAATTCTACTCACATTTGATTTGTCATACAAGAATTAATTAGCTTTTCTTTTATTGAAGCCCTGCAGACTGGCTCTGACTGTATGATTCATTTCATTTTATTTATTATTTAATTTTTTTCCTTTTCTTCAAAATTTACCATACAAATTTTTACCAACAATCTCATGTGTTTAAGTTTAGGTTAGTTGGCCTTACTATTCAGAGGCAAAACCAAAAAAAAAAATAAAAAAAAAATAAGGCCTTTAAATGAAGAAATAACTATGAAGATTATTTCATTTCTTGTGCATTGTGTCTTATCTTTCTCTAAGCTGAGGCAATAACACTGTAAGTTTTATATATTCACTTATGCATTATTTTTTGCAATTTTTCTAATACTTTATGTTATTTTTTTTCCACTGAACTAACTTTGCAGGCAAAAGATGAACAAATCTGCAGATTATTGCAGCCATGACTTTGATTATCAAGCAGATTTTACTCAGGTTTTGTAAAAACCTTTTAAATATTTTGCATTCATGGTGTTGAACTATTGAGTTATTAGCTTACAGTTCTCTTTTTAACATATTCAGTTTTTGGAAGAAGCAAAGAGAAGTACATTCCAAAAAGCACCAACCACACCACAAGTTAGTGAAAAACAGTTGAACCCTGCAAAAAAGAACAGGAAATCATGGAAAAAATCTCTGTTTTACTGGTTGAAAATCGACAAGAAGGATAAGAAACCCGGCCCGAACATCGAAAAGGCCTTCAAGCCCAAGAACGGGCATGTTTCGGGCCCAGTCCACCCGACTACAGGCAAGAATACCACAAGCAGAGCCCGCAGGCCGGCATCGGGCCCGATCACGAGTATTTTCAGCCCAACAAAAGGAGCAGATGAGTATGATAGGGTGCCCTATGTGTGTCTTGGCCAGATTAGTGATCCCCACAAGGTTCAGTCATATGGGCCTGTTTACTTAGTCACATAGAAAAAAGTTAGATGGATTTTGAAATTGTTGTTTAGATTAAGAAATTCTTGATTTGGTGTTTTGGATATTTGTTATATGCATAGATGATGTGCTTGTTAGTTGGATCATAATGGCTATTCAAGCCTGGCTTTTATGATACAGTTGGATTCATATCCTATATTCCCTATTTGAGAGTCCATTTTTTGCTAATTTTTGCTTGTTTTTGTTCACTTAGAATGTGAAATAGAGGAATTACAACTTTTGAATCCCATGGTTATATGGAGTTTGCAATAATAGACATTCTCTTGGTTTCAAATCTTTAAAAAGATGGTTTAAAACTCAATTTTGCATTAGCTAGTGGGCCTTATTATAAACTTTTAGGAGAAGAAAGATGTGTTTAAGGATATGATTATAGAGGTATAAACAAGTCGAGCCGAGCTCGAGCTAGAGTTTTTAATGAAATGAGCCAAGCCCGACTCGTTTATCAACATTAAAAAGTCAAGTTCAAGTCAGAACTTGAGTCTGAACAATTCGAACTACAGAAAAATCAATGTAAAATCAACTTGAGCCTTAAGCGAGTTCGAGCTCAACTCATTTAAACTCGAGCCTTAACGAGCCGGGCAGAGCTCACGAGCAGCTCGTTTCATTTAACAGCTCTACAATCTAGAAGAGTGAAACGACAATTTGGAAATTACAGTTTTGGGAATGAACACAAGTATGCATCATGAGTAAACAGGAACATAAGTTTCTAAACCAAATGTTAAGGCACAATCATTGTTCTTATGGACAAGAGTACAAGACACAGCTAACAACATAAAATTAGCAACAGTAATTTGACAAAAAAATAAAATAAAATAAGATGAGGTATACATTATTGAATATCTGCACATTTTTCTTATATTTGCTTTAAATTCATTCATTCAAGTCATCACCAGAAAATAAAAGAACCACATATGGAACATCACAAAAAAAATGGCAAAGAACTGTATACAAATATTTGTTAAGGCACAAAATATTTCTACTTATCTACAATACATAACAGCTTCTTCTCCAGGCATCATTCAGCCAACATTTTCAATCCAAAAAAATCTCTTCTGGGAGAGAACATGGAAGAGAAGCAAAAAGACCCTATACGTAAATCAACAGCCAACTTACAAAACCATCTTCATCGAGAATTTTCGAAGAAAACTCGAACTTGTAACAAACTAATCTCCTTCACCTCACGAACCGAACAATCGCATTTCAATCAAAGTGATTCGACTTTTGAACATCTATCGCAAGTCTTGCTCAATATCCGAATTTATCGAGCTAGAAGGATTAACCCTTCTGTTATTATGATTATAACTCAACAGCTTCTTTATCGACTTGATTCTCGCGGGCACTGAAGATTTTTGTTCGTCTTCCTCATCCACCTGACGTGCAATCTCCGGCAAGCTGCTAGTTGACTCGACTGGTACAGATGAACTCGATAAACTCGGTGATTGCTCAACAAAAACAACATTATTGTTATCATTATCACTAGCATCCTCAACAGAAGGAGTAAATGTGCTGACTTGAGTCTCATCTCCCCAAATCAACACATTGGTCGGAAAATTCGGGGTCTCGGTCTGAAAATTGCTATCTTCTCCCGAATTTTCAACTGCCGGAATTTGAATTACAATGGAATCTAACTGTGGCTCGTCTGAGGAACCCGACCCGTTTGGATTTTTAACCGGGTTTCGACATAAAGGGCAAGTTGAATGTGATTCGAACCACATGTCAATACAGTCCAGGTGAAATCCATGGCTGCATTTGGGTAAAAGCCTGGTCTTTTCACCTTGGGAGATATCGGAGAGGCAAACCGCGCATTCCAGCCCGTCTTTGAACTCTTCCGGGTCGAACATGATGACGGGTAGGGCTCTGAGGACAGAGGGATCCAGGCCGCGGCGGGAGACGGACAGCTCCGGGTAGCCGTCGGCGAAGTCGAATCTGCGGCGGCGGCGGCGGCGGCGGCGGGGGAGGGGTTCGGGGGCGGGGACAGGGTTTTCAGGGCGGCGGTACCAGAAATACTTGGCGTAGAGGTGGAGGCAGAAGACGAAGACGACGACGAACAGGAGGAGGACGATTGCCACCACCATTATCTTCCCCGTGAGCTCGATTATGTCCGTGTTCGCAAATCTCTCCGATGAGTCCGCCATTTTTATCTTTTTTTTGGGTCACAGACTCGGAGTGGGCTAAGAAAAGATTGGATTTTTATAGCTTATTTCGAAAGCAATTGCCGGAATTCAACGAAACAAAGAAGCCAAGATGAGATTTTTCTGCAGTGATATATCAGAATTCCAAGAAATCATGGAGTGCACAACACGCTCCGATCATGCGGGAAATTTCTTGGTAATATATTATATAATTTGATTCTTGAAATCTGAGATAAAAATCAGTTTGTATTAAGCAAAACCCAACAAGGAAAATTAAAAAGTAAGCAAATCTGAGCAAGGCAAAGAGAGGAGGACCAAAGACTGGTGAATTTTTTTCAACCTATCGAGGGTTTAGAAAAAGTACAATGAAACGAGTTATATAGGAAAAGGGTGGGTTCATATGAAAACTCGAAGTCATAGCAAAAAGGGAATGACGATTGGTTGATTGACATTTAACAGTCTCAGCAGGAAGGTCAGTGGAGGACAAAACGACGGCGTTTAACGATAAATCAGCTTGGTTAAAGATTGTGCAACTCGGGTCGATCAACGGATTAGTCAGGGCAAAGTTCCGAATAGATTGTGTGAGTGCTCTAAAACACATTTCTAATGTTTAAATGTTGTGAATAGAAAGTATGAGTCAATGGGAATTTTTAGATGAAAAATATAGATTTTAACTAACAAGTTAATTAATAGTTTAGTTTAAAAATAAATTTTAAATGGGCAATGCTATATGTACACCCCCTTTTAATAAATTACACAAAGAAAAGTGCTATATGTACACCCTTTTTTTACACTTGAGGGGGTGTACATATAGACACCCCCTTTTAAATTCATAGTTCATATCTTACTGTTAATGGCTGAAATTGAAAAGGTAGTAGCTGAAAAAAGAATTGTCAAATCAAACTTTCTGAATACAATAAGCTTATAAGTTAACTAAATAAATTTAAAAGCTAGCTAAATAGACTTATAAATTAGTTTATCATTGTTCATTGATCCAACATAAATAATTATAATTAAAAATATTAACATAATACATGAATTCCTTAAAACTAGGAGAATAATTTATCTTTCTTCTTTATGTGATTAGTTATAACTTATAATATAGAAGATGATGTGAATAAAGTTTTCTTTATGTGATTAGTTATAGTGTAGAAGAAAATGTGAATAAATTTCATACTTCTCTATTTTGTTTGACACTAATTATTTAAGCACCATCACTATATATTGCCTATGTTTGGCTACTAGCTAAGAGCACATAGTGACTATATGATTGTATTGATGAATAGTTTATAGAAAAATGTGTTTAGAAGATTATAATAACAAACTTGACTAGTGAATTATATAACTACTTATGAAGTTTTATGTTAACATGTTATTCTACAAATCACCAATCCATATCACATAGTGTTTTAATTTTATATTGACCTTTTACAAAATTAGTGTTTTTGGACTCAAAAGTTTACGTCGTTTACTTTGCGGGATGAGATTGGATAATGAAAACTATCACCCCTTGTACAGTGTTTACTTTCCTGAATTGGGATGTGATTGGTCCCACTTGGCGCACATGTGGACTACAGGCCCCACGACTTATCAAATATTGACCGATTAAATAGTCTTGCCCCCCACCCAGGATTTTTTTTTTATCCCAACCTTTCATTTACATATTTGCGGGGCCCCACTGTTTCATATAATCACATCTCACAAAGTAAACACTGAACTAAATGCTGACGTGTAAAGTTGTTCTGATTATTTTCTCTAACCCCATCAATCAAAGTAAATGAGGTAAACGGATAAGTTTTTTACCAAATAAGCTAATTAACAGATTTGACATGTCAAAGTTCTAAATAAATTTCACTTCTCTAATTTTACACCAATCAATTAACATCCAAACAAGATCATCATTACATTAAGCATAGTAGTGTGAAAAGTGAACCTAACATTGGAGATGCTTTGAGAGGTTAGAGCTCAATGATGGCTTTTATATATTAGAAACTTGTTTATTACTATCACTGTGTTTGATAGACTAGGTTATACTTTCCAAAAGTTATTTATATAGAAATAATGAAATTAATAATGGATAATTATAATATATAATTGGATTAATAGTAACTTTTACAGACAAAATGTATAATAACAAATAAGTTTTAATTTAAAAATACATAATAGGATAAAAAAAACATGGGTGAGTAGTATATTTTTTCTATTAACTAAAGCTTTCTAATATTTTTTTATTTATCTCTTTTAGTTACATAGGTCAACCACATCATAAAGATATTGCTTTGCAAGGTCTGATTTTTAGGAATTATACGAAGGCAATAAATAATAATATTGACTACTTAACTTTTCTTTTGGCATAATTTTCTGACCTATGACAAAAACCATATTATAATATTCCACAATTTTGCTTTTGGGATTGAAAATGGCGATTAAAGAAACCATTTTTCATGCGTATAATATCTAAAGTTATTTATTAAATAATGAGTTTTATCAAATTTCAAAATTTTTATCTGTATTAATAAAAATGAACAATATAGGTACAAAATGCATAAATTACATATTGATCACTATATTTATGATATACATTGAAATAAGTAATATACTTGTTTATAATGTGAGAGATCGTGACCAATTAAATGACTGAAAATTATTATTATTTTTTATGTGTTGAAATCGTGTGTCATTGAAAAATATTGGGGTAAAAGTTAAGAATACAACAATTATTGTAACTGAAAATGTACAGAAATTATGTTAAAAAAATTTGTTTTTTTTTTTTTTAAATAAAAGCGGTGATTGTAAATAGTGATGAATGTTGTGCATTGATCATTAAATTAATATATATATATATATATATATAATTATTTATGTGAATAAAAATCGAAAATGCGAAAAAAAAGGAAAAAAAAGTTCTATTAAAACATTTGCTTACAATTATATATATGATAAATATATATTATCCTTTAATTTTTTTACCTCTTTTTTAGATCTCAATAACCCAATCCAAGTCGGTTACCTATAAATTTTTTTGTCAAATATCTGTCATTGTCAAATACTTTTATAATTCAATTTTAGAAGGTTGACTTCGTACGATGCATTTTAGTCTTAGATTTGACCAAATGTTAATAGTTCAAATTTTATTAACGATTAATAAAATGTCAATCTTAATTAATATTATTCCCCCTTCATCTGTTCTCAAATTCTCTTTTATATGTAATAATGAAATCATAAGGATTAAAATTTTCTGTAAAGGGAAAGAAAAAATCTACTTTAATGCACTGTATTAATTGAGATACAATTTGACAAAAATGTTGGTGTTTTGATTATTTATCAATTTAAAATATAATATAGAGTGTATGGATTATCAAAACCGTGCGTTTTATATCATATATTTATATTTAAGTATGAAATTTTAGTTTGAAAATATGTATATTTTGTTGACAAAGTATGAGGTTAACTAACAGT